GAAGCTACCTCAAAGAGGATAATTTGGTGTCTACACCCTAGTTATACCTGGTGGACTAACCTGCTGTACTATAAGATAAGGAACCTTTTCAATGTATGTAGTTACTGTAGTTTGATTGGCTGCATATATATATTAATTTAATAACCCCCCCCCCTAATGTGTAGAGGATCGATTTGTGAGATTATGAGATTATTGCAGAAATACAGTCCACTTATCATTATACAAATTGCTATCGAAGTATATAAATTAACGTAAATATAAATTCTATATAAATTCATATAAATTAAATAAATATAAATCTCACAGGTCGGTTCCCACATTATTTGGTCATCTTCGAACCGGATGACGGATTATTTGATCCTTTGAACCCACATTTGGTCATCTTAGTACCGGATGAACCAGTTAACCAGTGGATTCATTAAATATACTAGTGCAGTGTTATTTAAACAAAGCCAGTCAAGACAGCGGCGTTGCCTCGTGGGAGCTCAGGAGCCTCCCTCAGCCGAGTTCAGCTTCGTCAGCGGTTTCATGCACACCCACAGATATTTGGTGGCGTGTTATTTCGTGAAATGACAACGCTAATAAAGAAGCCAGCCTAATTAGTGACTGTGTCTTCGCGATATTGTTCACGGATTTCGTGGTGTTACATTTCGCGAGAGATTATCTACGAATTTTGTGGAGTTTATTTCGCGAGGTCACTAATAATATTTAATACTTCTAGATAATATTAGAAGTTTCATAGAGGCTAATTAAGAGGCTATTATCAATAATTGTGTATATTATTTCTCCAAAATAGAGAATTATTTAATATATATTGCACTAGTGATCACAGTATAATATTTACTAATTGCCAACCCACAACAGGGTAGGATATTAACCATTGACTAGTTGAACTATTATCGTTCATCCTAGTCCCATTATTACCATAGTCAGTTGTACTATATTGATCAACCTAACACCATTAATGAATGGTCCAGACCCTATTTTGGGTGTAATTTTATCAACTCGAATTGAGTTGTATATATAATAATTTACTTATGATCATTACACCTTTGAGTGATTAATTAGTGTCTCTACCATCCTAGGGTGATATAGAAGAGCTAACCTAAAGGTACTTCCAGTGACACTGGTTTATCACTCAAATCATTAGTGTGGATGATTGTATATATATAATGTGTATTAATTTTAAGTGCTAACCTCTAGTAGAGGTAGGATTATTGCCTAGTGAGTGCATTTTACCCTAGGCTACCATTAGAGCTTGTTCAGTATTATGAGCAGCCCAAGTACAAGCCCCACAAGGCTTCACCAACGAGCCAGTATGGATAATGCAGGGAGAATGAAAAGAACCCTTGCAGGTCTTAAAGGCCACTTAACAAGACAGATCAAGAAATGTGAAGATTTGTCACAACAATCTCAAGTTGATTATGCTGACCTGGAAAGCTATTATCAAGCAGCTGCAGGTAAATTTGAGCAAATCAAATGCCAAATGGCTGTCCTTGTGGGGACAGACTACTACCATCAATTCATCGGTAGCCCTACTAAATATCAGGGTATAACCATGTTAAACTCTGCAGGAGGTAAATTACTCTCAGGCCCAGTATCAAGCCTGAGGAGACCTATGGCTGCAGATAAACAATACCAGTAGAATTCTAAATTTGTCAGCTGATTATATTTCTCCAGTAGCATTATACTAAGGAGATTACAGCTGACTATACCAACAGAGCTTGATGTTAGTATCATCATTTGAAGCTTAAGATGAGTTCATGAGGCTTCAGTGGCAAATCAGTGAACAGTAGCCTAAAACAGCTACAAGTCACTGCGACCAATGTCACTGAACCCACTGCAGTCTCAGAACCATACTTTACTTTAATGATGAGCTATTCAATCTTCTGAATCAATTAACTAAATTAAAACCCAATAAATCTGATGACTGATTTGATACATTTATTATTTAATCAAGATGTATTCCATGGGCCTCAGTGTTTATATATCAGTGACCAGTTACCTGAACAAACTTCAAGTTATATCTAATGTCACTGATCTCACTGCAGTCCCTGAATCATACTTGACTGTAGTACTTGATCACATCCAGTCTTCTGGGTTAAATAATATGTAATAAGGCTTGAATATTAGCCTTTCAAGAGTTGACAGGGAAATGAAATCGCATTAGACTTCTAACCCCTGCAACTCTAGTACGGGACATCCGTCCTGTACGAACAGACACACAAATGTGTGATTACTAACTACTAACATCAAATTAATGTAATAATTCGAAGGAGGAGTATCGGTGTTCGTCTGTTCTAAACAGGACTTCGACCCGTGAGCAGCCCCCTGTCGAATTATGTCGGAAAATCCGACACCATTTAATAATCATACAGATAATAGCTGTATTACCCACAAGTTACCCATAGAAAACGTAACTTGTAGTGGAATTACCGTCTATAGAAAACGGGATATCATCACCACATACTATTATAATTCACCAGCTATTTTGCTGGGAATTATTCTTAAATACATTAGTCTTTGGACTTTACCATCATAAAAACATCTTATATAAATTAACTTAATTATCAATATTAAAGTAGAGTAAATGTGACCCTTCTATCACTTTCTGAAATCTGGACAAAGTAGGCCAGGCGTCAGGGAGGAAGGAGGGAGCCATTGTTGTGTCACCTCCGAGACGTGTGGAGCAAATTCGGCTCCTATCATTCTGGACAATGTCGGCCAGTAACGTCAATAGTATGGAGTGTTAAACAGTCATTGTTTATATTGAGACCAGAGGCTCACACGGGAGCAAATTCGGCTCCTGTTAATTTTACTTGGACGTAGTGTTATGGAAACCAAAGGTACCATCTCCAACACGATGTCTACAATTCAAGTTAAGTGTCTATCCGAAACCCGTTTATCATTCATTTATGGCCATTAATGTCAGGATATAGGGTGACCCGGTTAGATCACATGGAAGCCTCAAACTAAAGGTAATTAAGCCAGGTCTTCATGTTCCATGTACTGTTTTCTCTGATATACTTGTCATATATAGGTATCTGGCTTCACAGCTAGCGCACTTTTGACAGGTCAAGACGAGGATGCAAGATTTGTGCACCAGTTACTGGGTGATATGGAAGCTACCTCAAAGAGGATAATTTGGTGTCTACACCCTAGTTATACCTGGTGGACTAACCTGCTGTACTATAAGATAAGGAACCTTTTCAATGTATGTAGTTACTGTAGTTTGATTGGCTGCATATATATATTAATTTAATAACCCCCCCCCCTAATGTGTAGAGGATCGATTTGTGAGATTATGAGATTATTGCAGAAATACAGTCCACTTATCATTATACAAATTGCTATCGAAGTATATAAATTAACGTAAATATAAATTCATATAAATTAAATAAATATAAATCTCACAGGTCGGTTCCCACACTTCCCACCACTCATGCTTCCCACCACTCATGCTTCCCGCCACTCATGCTTCCCACCACTCATGCTTCCCACCACTCATGCTTCCCACCACACATGCTTCCCACCACACATGCTTCCCACCACTCATGCTTCCCACCACTCATGCTTCCCACCACTCATGCTTCCCACCACTCATGCTTCCCACCACTCATGCTTCCCACCACACATGCTTCCCACCACACATGCTTCCCACCACACATGCTTCCCACCACACATGCTTCCCACCACTCATGCTTCCCACCACTCATGCTTCCCACCACTCATGCTTCCCACCACTCATGCTTCCCACCACTCATGCTTCCCACCACTCGTGCTTCCCACCACTCATGCTGCCCACCACTCATGCTTCCCACCACTCATGCTGCCCACCACTCATGCTTCCCACCACTCATGCTTCCCACCACACATGCTTCCCACCACTCATGCTTCCCACCACACATGCTTCCCACCACTCATGCTTCCCACCACTCATGCTTCCCACCACTCATGCTTCCCACCACTCATGCTTCCCACCACACATGCTTCCCACCACTCATGCTTCCCACCACTCATGCTTCCCACCACTCATGCTTCCCACCACTCATGCTTCCCACCACTGCCGCGGCCGACCTGACCACAAACAGCGGTGCCGTGCTTGGGAATCTCTACACCACCCGACCTAGTGAAGAGGGAACAACACGTGGAGCTGCAGCAAAGCTCTAGGTGTTACCAGTACTGTCACTACACGGGCAGGCTGGTAGTTATCACACTAAGGCACCAAGCTGGGAAGGCCATGAAGCACCATACTACACCGGCAGGTGCACGCAACGTGCACCTGCCGGTGTAGTATGTAGACCGATCACAATATTATAAGGGATAATTCTTGTATAATTTATCCCCAACACTGTGGCTTCAAAAGAAAAATAATTGAATTTAATTTTATAAACAATAATCCGGATTTTAATATCTCCTCAGGGCAGTGGTTACTAGATGTGGTGAACGATTATGTTTCAAGGAGGTTATTACTCAATGCTTACACCTCCCCGCAGCACACTTCACTTGACGCCATAAAAGCAGTCATTATTCCCGTTCACTGCTGAAGAGGATCCCGGGTTAGGATCAATATATACACTCTACACTTCCTCATGTTTTCAAAATAATACGGTATTATTTTCGTTAATTAGAATTAGTGCGCCACTACACTTCATTGTCATACACTATTTTGTATGACATGAAGTATACTTGTATTACCCTGCATCGTGTATGCTTGCAATATACCTATATCGGCTTGCATCCTGTTTTCTTGCAACATTGCATTATTTGTCATTTATTTTTTATGAACCCCCTTTTTATCATAATTGATAGTGATAAAATATCAGTTATTACTGTTAAGTTACATTATTTCCCGACTTGTCTGTAACAATGAGCATAATGCATCAGTTATTAACATCTCGAAGTCCCACCAGTAATTTATTTAATGTGATTTATAAAATATAACTATTATTATTATTTCTTAATTCAATTGAAGTCTGCAAAGTGCATTTCATCCTGACCTGAATTTTGCCTTCGAGAGCATCGTCCTTGAGAGAGCAGGCAGCCTCCAGCCCCAGGGAGAAGAATGGGGATGAGAGATGGACATTCTTGAGGGTGACGACTGTGTCCATGTGAGGCGGGTGTCTCACCTCAGCGGTTCCTGCCACACACGGGAGAGAAACTACAGTTGAATACTAAATGTGAGTATTATTGTTGCATTAAATATTAATTGCAGGGAAAATTGAAGGAGGGGGATAAAACCCAGGCTGTTCCTATCACTCAACTGCAGAGTAGGTGAGCCAATTGACCTGGAGCATCCCAAATATTCAACCACAGATTTGGCAACTGACCTATTTCATAATAGGTTCATTGTGCACATTTCAGCAACTGGTACATTTCAGAAGGGGCAACTGATCACTCTGGGCGTTCCCTTTCCAACAGTGTCAGAGGGAGGAATGGAGTTGTTGGGTAATACCCAGCTCTACCCGTCACAGCCAGCCAAGGAGACGGTAATACCAGCTCCACCCGTCACAGTCAGCCAAGGAGACGGTAATACCCAGCTCCACCCGTCACAGTCAGCCAAGGAGACGGTAATACCAGCTCCACCCGTCACAGTCACCCAAGGAGACGGTAATACCCAGCTCCACCCGTCACAGCCAGCCAAGGAGACGGTAATACTCAGCTCCACCCGTCACAGCCAGCCAAGGAGACGGTAATACCAGCTCCACCCGTCACAGCCAGCCAAGGAGACGGTAATACTCAGCTCCACCCGTCACAGCCAGCCAAGGAGACGGTAATACCCAGCTCCACCCGTCACAGCCAGCCAAGGAGACGGTAATACCAGCTCCACCCGTCACAGCCAGCCAAGGAGACGGTAATACTCAGCTCCACCCGTCACAGCCAGCCAAGGAGACGGTAATACCCAGCTCCACCCGTCACAGCCAGCCAAAGAGACGGTAATACTCAGCTCCATCCGTCACAGCCAGCCAAGGAGACGGTAATACCAGCTCCACCCGTCACAGCCAGCCAAGGAGACGGTAATACTCAGCTCCACCCGTCACAGTCAGCCAAGGAGACGGTAATACCCAGCTCCACCCGTCACAGTCAGCCAAGGAGACGGTAATACCCAGCTCCACCCGTCACAGTCAGCCAAGGAGACGGGAGTTACCCAGCTCCACCCGTCACAGTCAGCCAAGGAGACGGGAGTTACCCAGCTCCACCCGTCACAGTCAGCCAAGGAGACGGGAGTTACCCAGCTCCACCCGTCACAGTCAGCCAAGGAGACGGGAGTTACCCAGCTCCACCCGTCACAGTCAGCCAAGGAGACGGGAGTTACCCAGCATATTCCTAAGTCAGTCGTAGTGGATGGAACGTCCGCAACATTCCTAGCGTTAAGTCACTGAAATAATTAGCAGCAGACCAAGCAATCTACATCAATCACTTTTCATAATAATCTCAAAAGGCAACTATTTGCCAAGGTGTCCCAAACGTTCTTCAGAAGGAATAACTGATCAGTGAATCACATTCTCTATGTGATCCTTGGATTGTTTCAAGCGTAAGTCAGACATATCAGTTTATGGGGGTAGAAATAAGTGCCGAATGGTATGGGCCGAGAGGCCTTCTGCAGTTTCCTTTATTCTCGTGTTATTATGTTCTTAATCCCTCAAGCTGTGTGAGATCCTGGAGGTGTGTGTGTCTGACTCGTGGTGTGTATATCAAGGAGGACACGAACCCATGAAGTCAAGCATTAACTTGCGTACACACGAGCACCATCTGTACTATAACTTGAGTACACACGAGCACCATCTGTACTATAACTTGAGTACACACGAGCATCATCTAAATCCATAAAGTGTGTGTGCACACGAGCAGCATCTATATCTTGTGAACGGTAGGACCAGAGGACACGGTAGGACCAGAGGACACGGTAGGACCAGAGGACACGGTAGGACCAGAGGACACGGTAGGACCAGAGGACACGGTAGGACCAGAGGACACGGTAGGACTAGAGGATACGGTAGGACCAGAGGACACGGTAGGACCAGAGGACACGGTAGGACCAGAGGACACGGTAGGACCAGAGGACACGGTTGGACTAGAGGACACGGTAGGACCAGAGGACACGGTAGGACCAGAGGACACGGTAGGACCAGAGGACACGGTAGGACCAGAGGACACGGTAGGACCAGAGGACACGGTAGGACTAGAGGACACGGTAGGACCAGGGGACACGGTAGGACCAGAGGACACGGTAGGACCAGAGGACACGGTAGGACCAGAGGACACGATAGGACCAGAGGACACGGTAGGACCAGAGGACACGGTAGGACCAGAGGACACGGTAGGACCAGAGGACACGGTAGGAACAGAGGACACGGTAGGACCAGAGGACACGGTAGGACCAGAGGACATGGTAGGAATAGAGGACACGGTAGGACCAGAGGACACGGTAGGACCAGAGGACACGGTAGGACCAGAGGACACGGTAGGACCAGAGGACACGGTAGGACCAGAGGACACGGTACGACCAGAGGACACGGTAGGACCAGAGGACACGGTAGGACCAGAGGACACAGTACGACCAGAGGACACGGTTGGACCAGAGGACACTGTAGGACCAGAGGACACGGTAGGACCAGAGGACACGGTACGACCAGAGGACACGGTAGGACCAGAGGACACGGTAGGACCAGAGGACACGGTAGGACCAGAGGACACGGTAGGACCTGAGGACACGGTAGGACCAGAGGACACGGTAGGACCAGAGGACATGGTAGGACCAGAGGACACGGTAGGACCAGACATGGTAGGACCAGAGAACACGGTAGGACCAGAGGACACGGTAGAACCAGAGGACACGGTAGGACCAGAGGACATGGTAGGACCAGAGGACACGGTAGGACCAGAGGACACAGTAGGACCAGAGGACACGGTACGACCAAAGGACACGGTAGGACCAGAGGACACGGTAGGACCAGAGGACATGGTAGGACCAGAGGACACGGTAGGACCAGAGGACACGGTAGGACCAGAGGACATGGTAGGACCAGAGGACACGGTAGGACCAGAGGACACAGTAGGACCAGAGGACACGGTACGACCAAAGGACACGGTAGGACCAGAGGACACGGTAGGACCAGAGGACATGGTAGGACCAGAGGACACGGTAGGACCAGAGGACACGGTAGGACCAGAGGACACGGTAGGACCAGAGGACATGGTAGGACCAGAGGACACAGTAGGACCAGAGGACACAGTAGGACCAGAGGACACGGTATGACCAGAGGACACGGTACGACCAGAAGACACGGTAGGACCAGAGGACACGGTAGGACCAGAGGACACAGTAGGACTAGAGGACATGTTAGGACCAGAGGATACGGTAGGACCAGAGGACACTGTAGGACCAGAGGACACGGTAGGACCAGAGGACACGGTACGACCAGAGGACACGGTAGGACCAGAGGACACGGTAGGACCAGAGGACACGGTAGGACCAGAGGACACGGTAGGACCTGAGGACACGGTAGGACCAGAGGACACGGTAGGACTAGAGGACACGGTAGGACCAGAGGACACGGTAGGACCAGAGGACACGGTACGACCAGAGGATACGGTAGGACCAGAGGACACGGTAGGACTAGAGGACACGGTAGGACCAGAGGACACGGTAGGACTAGAGGACACGGTAGGACCAGAGGACACGGTAGGACCAGAGGACACGGTAGGACCAGAGGACACGGTAGGACCAGAGGACACGGTAGGACCAGAGGACACAGTACGACCAGAGGACACGGTAGGACCAGAAGACACGATAGGACCAGAGGACACGGTAGGACCAGAGGACATGGTAGGACCAGAGGACACGATAGGACCAGAGGACACGGTAGGACCAGAGGACACGGTAGGACCAGAGGACACGGTAGGACCAGAGGACACGGTAGGACCAGAGGACACGGTAGGAACAGAGGACATGGTAGGACCAGAGGACATGGTAGGAATAGAGGACACGATAGGACCAGAGGACACGGTAGGACCAGAGGACACGGTAGGACCAGAGGACACGGTAGGACCAGAGGACACGGTAGGACCAGAGGACACGGTACGACCAGAGGACACGGTAGGACCAGAGGACACGGTAGGACCAGAGGACACAGTACGACCAGAGGACACGGTAGGACCAGAGGACACAGTAGAACCAGAGGACACGATAGGACCAGAGGACACGATAGGACCAGAGGACACGGTAGGACTAGAGGACACGGTAGGACCAGAGGACACGGTAGGACTAGAGGACATGTTAGGACCAGAGGACACGGTAGGACCAGAGGACACTGTAGGACCAGAGGACACGGTAGGATCAGAGGACACGGTACGACCAGAGGACACGGTAGGACCAGAGGACACGGTAGGACCAGAGGACACGGTAGGACCAGAGGACACGGTAGGACCTGAGGACACGGTAGGACCAGAGGACACGGTAGGACCAGAGGACATGGTAGGACCAGAGGACATGGTAGGATCAGAGGACACGGTAGGACCAGAGGACACGGTAGAACCAGAGGACACGGTAGGACCAGAGGACACAGTAGGACCAGAGGACACGGTAGGACCAGAGGACACGGTATGACCAAAGGACACGGTAGGACCAGAGGACATGGTAGGACCAGAGGACACGGTAGGACCAGAGGACACGGTAGGACCAGAGGACACGGTAGGACCAGAGGACATGGTAGGACCAGAGGACACGGTAGGACCAGAGGACACGGTAGGACCAGAGGACACGGTAGGACCAGAGGACACGGTAGGACTAGAGGACACGATAGGACTAGAGGACATGGTAGGACCAGAGGACATGGTAGGACCAGAGGACATGGTAGGACCAGAGGACACGATAGGACCAGAGGACACGATAGGACTAGAGGACACGATAGGACTAGAGGACACGGTAGGACTAAAGGACATGGTAGGACCAGAGGACACGGTAGGACCAGAGGACACGGTACGACCAGAGGACACGGTAGGACCAGAGGACACGGTAGGACCAGAGGACACAGTACGACCAGAGGACACGGTAGGACCAGAGGACACAGTAGAACCAGAGGACACGATAGGACCAGAGGACACGATAGGACCAGAGGACACGGTAGGACTAGAGGA